TGTCGATCAAGAAACTTTAATATGTGAGTGGACCGGAATCACTCACATCAACTTGGTCTGGATATCTTTAAACAGGGAATGGGAAAAAAATTCGTCATAAATTGTAAGATATTGGTTGCGTATGATATTTATTACTTCCTAAATGCTGAATACTGTTGAAATGCCAGAGTAATGGAATATATATTTCATTTTAGCTGTTATTGCAAGTAAGGATTTGTGATCTGTTGCAGATGATGACGTCTCCATGAAATCTCCCATTGTTTGGCTACTCTGTGTGCGTGGTTTTACCTTTTTCTCGAGCAGTGGATAGGCGTTCACTGGCCCGAATCTCCGCTTTTATGAAGTTTTTATTTTTTGTATTCAACATTTTTATGCTTTATAAAAGTTTGTTTTTAATCATTGATGTCGAAGTATTAAAATTTGAAACATATGATTGCAGACTTTGTAGATTTAGCTTGTTTATTCTGTTTTATATATTATTTGGACATGATTTGATGTTTTAATACATCATTTTGAAATTTCGCTTGTGTAAATGATTCGTAGCATATTGTATGTAATCGTTAAGAATGAATATTATGTAAATTTTTCGTTATATTTGTTCATATAGCTAGTAACATTATTGATTTGTAAAATGATAAAAAGTAAGAAAAATAAAATTGCTAAGATTAGCAAAAATTTGTGACATGTTAATTACTCATGACAAATGCACATTCTGTAATATTGCAGCGGGAGGGGGGCTGTGTGTTGTGTGGTGAGGATTCCAGATCCTGATTGTTTTCGTACGTGTTCTACAGAATGTATTACCATGCGTCAGTATTGTGAACACAGTTTAGATGTCCATAACAACTGAGATGTTTGGCTTCTCTGCAACGTTTGAACATGTGAAGTTACAACGTACAAGAACTGTCAAAGTACGAAAAGTGGATGGAGACTATTGCTTGCAAATATGGTTTACTTCCGGTGGCTACTTAAATAATGGCAACTTTCGTTGCTGTGCAAATGTTGAAAACTTCCTATAAGGAGAAGGCTATGCAAATAACTGACAATTTACTTTACCATGTTCATCAACTATTCTTACTCTACTGCAGACGGGAATTGATGTTAAGGAAATTGACTGGTTTGAAACAGGATTTAAAAACTTTTTTAAAATCCTGTTTCAAGCCTATTCCTAATCAGTTACTATTTTCGGATAAAAATTTGGACTTGTGGTAATAATGAAATTGTTGCTAGCCATAAAGTCTAAATAATCAACAGTAAGATCACGATTGCAGTATGGAAACTTTTTGCACTTTTGAAAAGCCGTTTTAGAATTAAGATAAAGTTGATGTGCATTAGCAGTTATTACACACAACTTAAGCATATTTTACTTAAATCATCATCAGGACTGACCACATAAACGAGGCCTTGTGTTTTGTGAATCTCGTATGTTCTTCGACATATTTCGCAGCAAGTTAAACTGTTGCACCAGTACTGATTAACTGATATATAGTGATACTAACTTATGATCAAGAGATACTAATGAATAGGTTTGAAACAGGATTAAAAAAAAAGTTTTTAAATCCAGTTTCAAACCAGTTAATTTCTCTAACATCAATTCGCGTATGCAGTACAGTAAGAATAGTTGATGAACATGGTAAAGTATATTGTCAGTTATTTGCATAGCCTTCTCCTTATATTAAAAATGTCATAGAATTTAAACAGCAAGTGATCCTTACGTAACAAAATTTCCCAGTGGATATTTCATTGTTGAGAAGATATTTTACTTCTTTCAAATCGAGATAAATAATAACAGTTCGGACTAAACTACGCTTACAACATGCTAATATGATTTCCATAACGTCAGTTTAATTTCAAATAGTTATGAGGAAATTAGCGTTGTAAGAATGAGACTAATTTAAATTAATTATCATGGTACAATGTGCTAATTTAGAAAAAAAAAAGTCTTGATATTCATTTATCATTTAAAAAGACGAAAGTGCGCAAGTAAAGTAAGACCAGAACAAGAGTCACGTAAGACTATTAATAATTATACTGCAAACGGTTAACTGTCGAACTTCACTCTCAATAACTGCAAATCATAATAACTGACCAAGTATCACACGTCTAACAATCATGTACCACATTGCTAGCAAATTAAGGAGTAGGCGGATTTGCATGTAGCGAAGAGTGCGTCTTGGAGCTCATTCGCCAATATGGCTTGTTCGTAGATACTATTTGCAAATTACTAGTGCTTTGATACTAAGAGATGGAATAAGACATGGAGGAAACTGATTGGAGTGGCATCATTCTGACTGTTAAATTAGATTGAACTCACTAGAATATATATGTATGCAAGTATTTGTTTTTTCATGATTCTTTCAGTTATTTAGAATTGTGCATTTTCCTAATATCTTAATTGTTTTAATATAGTTATCACTATCTGTTTTCAAAGCGTAAGAAAAAGATAGGAATAACTGCTAGTTTATTTAGGCGTTTCAGATCTAATTTATGCAGATCCTTGAAAATGTGTGATTCTTACCTAGCTTTCAAATGATTATGTAAGCGATAACTAGCGCATTCAGATTTGGCAATCAAATTTATCACATTAATTTAGTCCAAGAGTTTTATTTTCACTGGTTTATTTCTAGCTTGTACGTTGAATAATAATCTCAAGCACATGATGGTAAATTTAACAATTTTAGGTCGAGATCGAAGCAATGTTTTATTCACTTTTTATGAATTATACAAAGTAATCGAGCAACAAAATGGATGTGATTCCTGATATGGATGATTTGTTGAATGAACTTGAAGCTGCTGAAGCAAGCACAGAAAAAGTCAAGCTTATTAGTGATCTGGTATTTCATTCAAATAATGTACTGTTGAATACTGGGAACGGTTTAAATATCATACAGGGAGATGTTTCAAATCTCGATCATATCGGTGAAACTGCCGTTTCTGCAAATATTCTTAGCGCACCGAAAGAACCTGAGAAATATCTTGAGTACGATGTAACGTCAAGTAAACATCTGGACAATACAGAAATTGCTGTACGAAATGAGAAATCTATAATTTGTGGCGAACATGGAGAAAAACTGGAAAGTGTACCAGAAAAAGCTTGCATTTCTTATTTAGATAGTGCTGAAATTAATGATATTTTAAATGATATTATCACCTCCTTAACAATAATGGAATCAAATACTTCATGCAATGCAAATATCAGCAGTACTGATTCTGGTTTGGGGGAACGCATTCATGATTATGATGATACCGCATTTCGCAATAGTACAACCATGAAAATTAAAGCCATGGAATATTCTGATGTCGCAGATCTTGCTGAAGAATTTGGACAGATTTCCAGCGTTACTCATAAGGCTGATGACAAAGGCGTGAATGTGCGTTCACATTGTCGTATTAAAAGCTAGCTAACATAATTTTTTTTTAAATCGATGTGCAGTCTATATAGTACTTGTAAAAATTTGCCATCATTTGAAGCAGTTTTTAAGTATGATGAAAAGGTTTTATATTTCATAAACTAATGCAAGCTTTTAGAAGTCTGCGGGATGTGTCCTGCGTTATCGAAGGTTACGGTTCTTAAATAAGCTGTATTGCTCTAAATAAAGTCATTTCAGGAGAAATTTTCAGAAAATATATAAAGAATTCAAAATTTGCTAGTGATTTTATTAAATGTTAGACGAAGTTTACTGAGTGATTATAGTTTTAATTCTTACACTGAAAGGGCTGAAGAATATTAAGCTTTCTTTGATGAAATGATTTGTAGCCAAGTGGTTTGTTTAAAGCTAATCAAGAAATGGGAAGATCTTTTGTGGCTGATCGAGGCTTAGTTGTTGTAATTACAGGTTGATAGCGATGTTGTCCTCACTAATGGTAAATACGCTGATATGGAGCAGTACTTATCCAGGTAGACTCTAAATCTTTTTTGGTTGTAAATGAACTTTCGCAGATATCACTTCTGGTATAATAACATTCCCTTATTCTTTGATATATATTTTCAGGTGGGATATGGACAGCGTGTCTTCGGTCGTACAGGAACAAATGAGTGAAGATTCAGTTGGCCAGATTTCATTCATAACTACTAAAGAAGAAATAATTGGTACGACTGAAGTGAGGGCAGAACAAGCTATTGATAAATCGGATTCGGATACAAAAATTCAGTCAGATCTTGATTTCCATACCAAAATACAGGCCTCTGAAAAAAATATCGATGAAGTGGTACCAAATAACGGTAAGTCTACCAAACTTCGAATGGCTGATTTATTTGCGGATGTAAACCCAATTTATGGAGCGCAACATGAGAGAGCAGTCAATGCAAAAGAAGACTTAAGTCCAGATAATGTCCAACAAGTAATGGACGAATGTGTTAGTGATGGTACAGTGTCAATTAAGCACTCTTCGTCGTCCAGCTGCCATCCATTCACTAATACAGGCAGTGAAGAAAGTTAGGTTTTCATCTTTCATCTACAAAAAAATTTTGAATAGAAATAGCATTTGAGCTAATTTTATTGAGTAAAAATCTCTAGCTCAGTCAGCTTTTCAAGGTGCATTAAAATTTTGAAAGCTCTGAACTTTCATACTGTAATACGACAGATATTGAATCATTCAGTAATTCTGTCACTGTCAGAAAATCAAAAGATGGAAATAATGCAGAAATTAAAGAAGAGGAAGAATCGAAAGAAATGGAATGTAGTGATGATAAACTATCAAGTGACTATGAGAAGCCGTCAGGAAAATTGGAAGGAACACAAGCTATCTCTGTCGTTTTGAGTACACATGATATATCTCAAAATTCAGAGTTTAAATATCTAACCGAAAGCGAACGTCAGCTTGGAAAGGTGTGTTTTGTAATTTATTAAGAATTTATTAAGTCAAATAGAATCATTCAGTTATATCGCAAACTTCATGCTGTCCTGAATTTTTTTATGCCTGTTACTTATTAAATAAATATCCATGGGTTTTGATATATATGTTTAACACAATCGAACTTAGGCTGGCAGCTGAGAAGTACCAATTCTACAAACTTTTTTTTTAGAAGCAACCAGTATGGATAGCTGATAAAGAAACGTTATCATGTATGATATGCTGTGTTAAATTTACTGTATTTATTAGACGTCATCATTGCAGATGCTGCGGTCGTGTACTTTGTGCTAACTGTACTTCTCAAAAGGTTATGTACTTAAGAAGTTTATTCAATATATTAAAATTAAGTCTTGATTTCCAAAGTTTCTTATTTGAATGAATTTTAAATTGTAGACTTCTTTTAAAAATTACTTTTATTTTGAAGGTTATTGATATCAATGTAATATTTTTACACATTTACACACTAAAATCTAATACTTAAGCACACGTTATTCTTATGGAACTGTGCTACACTCATTATTTAGTGATTTCGGTTATTTAGCTGGAAAGTAGTGTTACTGCAATTTAACCCTCATTTGAATTACAGGCTACGCTTTTATATACGAATAACCCAAAAAAGGAACATCGAGTTTGTGATCCATGTTTCGAAACATTGAGACGTATTGAAGAATATGAGAGAAAAACTAGTACAAGGTTGTTTTAATTTCAGTGTTATAGCGGAAGGTAAAACATTCTATAAAAATTAAAATAATTGAAAAAGTTTTTGAAACCTTATTTAAATAACTGTAATATCTGGGAAGCTCAGAGACTATTTTGTTGTAGTGAAACAGCGATTGTGAATGACTCTTTAAATTCTTCGGATGTTCATCAGGAGACATCACGAATAACGAAACCAGTTTTAAAGTTAAAAACAAGATCCGAAAATGCAGTCATGTCTAATGATAATCAGAACGCGTCAATGGGAATCGGAGGACATGGTAATGCTTCAGTGAAACGTACTGTTACTTTTCTTGATGGTCTTCATCCTGGTGATATCAGTAATGATGAAACTCAGACATTAACCGCTGATTTGAGTCCCGCGAAACCGAAAAAGGTTTAAATTGGAGCCTAAAGTAATTTATGCAAAAATGTCGTTTTTAAACATGTTTCTATAAATAATGAATGCATGAATCTTTTTTTCGAAGACATCTAAGCAAAAACTGAATTTGGGCGTATTGTGCAGCATGGTTCGAGGAAGCAACATGTGTCACGCCGTCTGCAACAACTGCAAATTGCTGAAGAATCTGCATGCTTTCTTCCTCAAATTTCGTGTAAAATCAATGATAAGCCAGTAACTGATGATGTTCAACAGAGAGTTGAGGGTCGTTTATATTTGCGAAGTACTGAAGGCAAAATTATCGAGTGTAGTGATATTAAAGAGCAGATTGCGCTCTTGAGGAATTTTAACCCGCTTGAAGTGTTGATTTTTCGAAATTTGTGGTGTATTATCAAATTATGCAAATGTGAATTTTTTACTGTTTGGATTTTTAAATTTTTTTTGTTTTTTGTGATGTCTGAAATCAATTTTCTTTTTGCATTATTAGTTTAGATCTAGTAACAGGTAATTTTGTCCTATAATGAAGGTTTTGAAATATATTGGAATCTTGTTATTCAAAATCTAAGCATGCATTCGAAAATAATTGGGTGGTTTTCTTCACTTTTGTTTCATACTTTTTTTGAGACTGATGATATAATTACCACAGATCAAAATAAGACTGTGATGTGTATTGTGTCGAGAGGGATGACGTTTGTTGGACTCGATGAAATTTTCCTCGCTTATTATTGTGATGAAGATTTGAAGGAATTGCCAATCTATCATTTGTGGAGGGTACTTATTTTCACTTGTTTTAATGGTTGATATATTGTCCATATGGTGTATTAATTGTTGTGCAAGAAAGAAAGTGGAACTGCTTATTACTATTGTGATTTAGAGAACCATTGATAAATGAGAGAGATAAGAAGGTAGGTTGTGTGGAAATAAAGTCTGATTAAAAAAAGAAAAATTATCATTATTGCATTTGATGCATTTATTTCTAGATTTACGAGATTTACGAAAATGCCTTAAGTCCTCAAAACGAATCCTCTGACGAAGAATTAGGAATACGACCGGCTCATTTTCGTGTTCCTGCGCTCAACCATACAATTCTTTTTTCAAATATGAAGGAACCGATATCGCGTGACATACTTCTTTTCAGACCATCGACTCAGGTCTGAACTTTTAGGATTCATTTTACATAAAACTTGAATGTTCGTCAAAAAATAGCAAGCATTTTTGTGGCTAAAATATACTTTCTTGACTAAGTATACAAAAGTCCATAAATGGTTAGTAAAAACATAACTTAGTAAAAACAATGTTTAATTATAATTGGAGTTATTAGTTGTTACAGGTATTTGATAACTTGTTGATTCCTTCTTCTCCATTTTTGGTAGCAGTATTCATTCATCAATCTGAAACGATTTGGGCCAATGTCATACCACAGCGACTTTTGATTAGGATTGGTCTTCAACTTAAATGTAAGTCTTTCACATTATTAATCCTTCTATAAATATCTGGCCTTCTTCTTGCTGTTTTGAGTTACATCTAGTTATTTAAATTTGACTTATTGCGTCATACTTCAAAGCGGATTATCTCAGCAAGTTACCTCAAGTGAATTTCAGCTACTACTAAGCAACAAAATGCTATTTAAAGATAGCCTACTAGCTATTTTTATTTCAGTTTATCCCACGCCAGTCATAAACGATTTTAATCGGAAGCCGGTATACAACTCATCTTTTGATACAAGTGTCCTTAAAATGTTTAATGATTTCCGAAATTGGCGTTTTCAAATGCCATTTATACCGAGTAGTACGTTAATAATTCAGAATGATTGCGAATGTATCTTAAGTATTCCGAATTGGGCTTTAGATAAGGTTTTATTTCTGATCATCTTGTGTGGCTTTGGTTTGTCTCACTGGTTCTTATGAAGTATAACTGCAATAATTAGTGGAGAACGTTTTAATATTTATCAATTTTAATGAATGAATCTGATTGAACTTCAATCATAGGGACTATTGATGAATCACCGAACAATTTTGTAAGGATAAGCGAAAAGAAATTACCGAAATTGTAACTATTAAAATTATGTTCAGGAGGAAAGTTGCTTTGAAATGCAAAAGATTTTCCAGAAATGGTTTTTGGCTTGTTTTAGATTGCTATGTTGATTAACAAAAATAGAAATATGATTGCATGGGCCCTTGATTTTAATGCAGATGCGGATAGTTATCTTGTATGCAAACAATCTGATTCGGGCTCTTTTGAATCGCAAGTTTTCACACATGGAATTGTAAGTCGAAAAGGTATTTCGAATCTTCTTTTGGTTATTCTTTTCTCTTTTGTTTGTAACTTGCTTCAGAGAAATAATCATTTCAGTGATTGGTGCTTCGTTTGTCATCATCGATGGGGCTTTGAAAGCAGGAGGAGAACCTTTTATTGTAAATGTTTTAGAAGTGAGTTCGTTAGAACATCATTTCACAATTTTGTGACTTAATCTTACTAAAACAGTTTCTTAAATTATTTGGAGAGGTTAACTTGCCATCAAAATTCCTCTTTTTTTTAAGGATGGAGTGGCAATGCGTTTTAGATCTGATGTAATGGAATCGTTAATCGAAACACTTTTAGTCGAAAAAGGTTTTGAACTGAAATCCACCACAATGAAAATTTCGATTAAATGGAGTAGTTGCTATATTCAACGGCATGACTGTGATTTAGTGTCTCCAATAGATGGTTTCTCGCTTATTGTTGGTTTTTTCTTCAGTTACTGTAACATATTAGATTCAAATTTACTTTCTTTCGAATAGTACGTGTAATTTTCCAGCATTTTTGCTTTTAAGCACAAATTGAGGAATTACTTTTGCACAGTAAGTGTAAGTCAACTTCGCAATACTGAGATAATAGTAACTAATATTCTATCCTTTGAAAAGGAATTAGCGGATGACTTTTTTACAGGGTTGTTATGAATATGGTTTGAAAAAATCGCGTGTTCTTGGGTCATTCTATCCAATACCGAATCAAGTGGGTTGGTCTCTCAGACTGGTTAGTGTGTATAATATAGATAAAGGTCGGTTTGCACAACGCGTGCAGTCAAAAGTATTCAGTGTCAGTGAGCAAGTTACTGCACGAATTGCGGTAACATTGGTACCCTTCGTCGATGACCTTATAAAGCATGACCTAAGGTATACGTTTCGTTCTTGTGACAAAATTTATTTAAAGAGGCAAAACAGTGCTTTCATCATGTTTATTCATTTGAAAATTTGTCTCTCTGAATTCAGCTCGTATTCAAATAGATTACATTTTGTTGATTTTTGAGATACAGAAACTTAATCAGGTTTGTTTTAAAAGCATGTAAAATCAGAGGATTGAGGG